ATTATCTTTCACTGCAATGTGTAGGTAGATTGGCAGATTAAATGGACAGTTTCTTGTCTTAAATCATTGTGAATTAGTTGGGACAAGTGATACTGCCGTGCAACAGTGAGTACATCCCTGTCAAATACCACTTTAATCTCAAATGATTCAAACTTCTATTGGATTTAACTCAAGAGACATACTTGTCCAGGTCATAGTTTTCACCTTTTTCTTCTTTTGAAACTCTTGTGTGATTTTCATAATGTGCTACAGATGGTTATCATGCTGAAATATTCCGCCTCTGCCAAGTTTCTGCACATTGGAAGTTATTTTTTCAGACAGTTTTTTGGTACACACACACACACACACACACACACACACATATATATATAGACACCTTCTGCACTTATGCAGCCCCATATCATCACACTCCCCACCTCCATGTTTCACAACTATGCGTTCACTGTGGTAGTCCTGGCCAGGTTCATACCAAACATGCTGGACCCCATCTGAGCTGAACAACTTCATCTACCTACCAAAGAATGAGCTCCCACTCATCAGATTTCTTTTCATGTATTTTTGGCAAAGTTTCATCTTGTGGTTTTCTGCCGAAAGCAAGAAAGGGTTTTTTTTTTTGTTTGTTTGTTTTTTTATTGAACACGAGCCATTCATAGAGACTGATGTAATGCAATGTTTCTCTCACTGTCTAAGCTGTCACACTAACTCAGATTTCCATTGATAACTCCTGTACCAAGTCTGAAGCACTTGCCTGTCTGTTTCTCAGCAGTAGATTGTTGAGCAGTGCACTGCCAATGGCATCATTTCAGAACGACCACCACCACCACACTGAGTGATGATTCTATGACTCGTTCTATAACTCCTGATAACTGTAGTGCTCTAGAAGGTGCTCTAAAATCTCCTGGTTGTGCTGCTATAACTTTGGATTTAATAAAATACAGTAGTCCAACACCAGCAGATGACATGACACCACACATCATCACAGACTGTGGAAACTTCACTCTGGACTTAAAACGTCTTGGATTCTGTTCCTCTCCACTTGTCCTCCAGACCTCCATCCATTATCTATACACTGCTTAATCCTCACTGGGGTCGTGGGGGGCTGGAGCCTATCCCAGCTGACTTAGGGTGAAGGCAGGGGACACCCTGGACAGGTCACCAGTCTATCACAGGGCTACACTTAGAGACAGACAACCAAGCACACTCACATTCACACCAGCGGACAATTTAGAATCACCAATTAACAACATGTTTTTGGGCTTGTGGGAGGAAGCCGGAGAACCCAGAGACAATCCACGCTGCACGGGGAGAACATGCAAACTCCACGCAGAAAGATCCCGGTGCCCCTACCGGGACACGAACCGGCAACCTTCTTGCTGCGAGGCAACAGTGCTACCAACTGTTCCACCCTGCAGCCCTCCTCCAGACTCTAAGACCTCAATTTTCAAATGAAATGCAAAATTTGCTTTTAACTGAAAAGAGGGCTTTATTTTTCTTCTAAGCCCAGAAAAGACACTTCTGACATTGTCTGTGGTTCACGAGTGACTATACATTAGCAATGTAGCAATGTGACAGTTAAACTTTTCTGAAGATGTCTGTACTTGGTGGCACTGGATGCGCTGACACCAGTCTCAGTCCTTGTGAAGCTCTTGAATTGACTTTTCTTGACAATCCTGGCTGCAGTCATCCCTGTTGCTTGTGCGCTTTTTTTAACTACACTTTTCTCTTCCATTCAACTTTCCATTAATATGCTTCAACAACCAGTCTTTTCAACAATGACGTCCTGTGTTCCATCCTCCTTGTGGAGGGTGTCCATGATCATCTTCTGGACAACTGCAGAGTCAGTAGTCTTCTCCATGACTGTGTTACATATAGTGAAACAAGTGCAATAGTATTTATATGGTTTGATCAGTAAAGTATTCAAACTCAAAATAAAATATTCTAATAATTTGAGATGCTGGATTTCTGAATGGTTATAAGTCATGATCATCAAAATGGAAATATTTCACCTAACATGTAATGAGTCTAGAATATATTACATTTTTACTTTCTTATATAACTGATGGAAAGCATTAAAGATTAAATTAAAGATGCACTTGTATATTAAAGATCTGCACGGTGGTTCGGTGATCAGCACCGTCGCCTCACAGCGAGAGGATCCATGGTTCGCATCCCAGTTAGGATGCCCTGGTTTGCATGTTCTCCCCGTGCAGCGGGGTTCTCTCTGGCTTCTCTCTGGGTTCTCCAGCTTCCTCTCACAGTCAAAAAACATGCTGAGGTTAATTGGTGATTCTACACTGTCCATAGATGTGAATGTGAGTGTGCTTGGTTGTCTGTCTCTCTGTGTAGCCCTGTGATAGACTGGTGACCTACCCAGGGTGTCCCCTGCCTTCATCCTGAGTCAGCTTGGATTGGCTCCAGCCTCCCCATGACCCTAGTGAAGATTAAGTGGTGTATAGATAATGGATGGATGGATAGTATATTAATCATAGCTTTTTTGCCTTGTAGCTGTTTCCCCCACTGTTATAATTTGACATTTGGGCTTATTCATGCTGTCCTTTCCAGCTGTGTTGACAGTGGATCACTCTGTGGTGGACCTGGAAACCATTGAAGCACTGTATGAAAATGTATGTATCACAGCACACTTTACTGTAGTTAACTACAAGTATACAGTTATGAACCACTTAATAAAATGTGATTGTTGTTGTGTCAGAGAGCACAGCCGGAGGAACTGGAGAAGATCAAGAAACACTACGAGACATCAGCTGAAGAAGAAGTTAAGCTGCTGGACAAACCAGAACAGTCAGTATCTCAGCTAATGTTAAGAGAGTACAGCAGTAACTAGAGCAACTCCACTAACCATCTGTGAATTGTTCTAAGAGGCCTGAATAACATCATCACCTTCTGGACTCTCACTCTGTATGTAATTGTGTTCCAGGTTTCTGTATGAACTGTCTCAGATCCCAAACTTTGCAGGCAGAGCTTGCTGCATCATCTTCCAGTCAGCCTTCATTGATGGGATCGCGTCCATTCAACGCAAGCTCAACACCCTCTCCTCTGTCTGTAAGGTGGGTAAAGCAGCTGACAAAACCCATTAAAAATAGCCACTAAAAAGGTCATATCTGTGAGAGGTAGATATGAGGCATGTCAGAGTGACCACCTGCCTTAACCCTCTGAACACAAGATCCCAACAGCAGGTTTAATAAGCATGGTGATTTAAAAATAATCTGGCAATACTGTACAATCTCTCCAAGCAAGAAGCCTTGGTCAAAGAAATAAATGTGGCTTAAAAACGGTGTACAGAGGAGCAAGTTGTAAGCAGGTTGTTTTAAGATACATTCAGCATGGTGAAATATCTTTCTGCAGTTGATGGACTTAGTGGAGAGAAAAACAACTAGTTTGTAACGGTTGTAAAAATGTAAATAGCAAAATATCTGTGACGGTACTCTCATGACAAAAATGTTGTACATGGTGATTCTATTCATTTCTTGTAAAACAAACCCTTAAAGAAAATGTACATTCTTTTTTTTTTTATATATAATTTATGGCACAATAACTACACAGAAGACAGCTCTCTCTACTTCTGGCCATGGTGGTGCCATTTCCGTAGACTTCATAGTACGGTGAAAAATGTGCCACACAGCAAGTAAAAATGTGACTGGAGTAAAAACTGCTCTGGGTTCACAGGGTTAAAAAGCTGCTAACCTTGTGTGGTGTTTGTTTTCAGGCTCTTCTGGAGAGCGACAGTGTTAGGGAGGTGATGGGACTGGTGTTGGCTCTGGGGAACCACATGAACGGAGGAAACAGGACCAGAGGGCAGGCCGACGGCTATGGCCTGGAAATCCTTCCCAAACTCAAGGATGTGAAGAGCAGGGTAAGAACAGCAAACAAGCTGGTGGGAAGTGTCTTACTTGTTGTTCAGGTGGACACGTATTACTAGTGAAAATGTAATCTAATATGATGATGGTGATGATGTGAGAATGCAGAGCAGAGGCAAGGCATCCAAGGTAAATAAAAAACTACAGCCATGTAGATAGAGAATTAACAGAATATCCAGAATGAATAATTACCCACATTGGAAACTCATTTTGTTGCATCCATTTCAATCCACACTTGTTGTAACAAGTTATTTTTAAAAAAAAAGTAGAAATAAAACCAGAATTAGTCAGAACATATCCTATTGGAGGCCTTAACGAACACATTAGTTTACACACTGAGATTCTATTTTTTTACTGATCTAGCGTTGACATGTCTCCTGCATTTCTTGTCAGGACAATCGTATCAGCCTGGTGGACTACGTGGTGTCATATTACCTGCATAACGTGGACAAGGTACTTATAAAAACTCTGATACTGTTGTTTAGTATGCATTACTCTACAGGAAACTGATGTCTTTGTGTTGTTTTAATATGAGGATTTGAACGTTAGTACTACACTGATTGGTTTGCAGCATTAAATAGCACAAATAAAGCCCCATCGCCACACTTTTAATATAAAGCTGGACAAGGACATAGGGAAAGCACATACTTAATCGGCCAAGCATAGGTTTATGTTCTTTACTGGATAATTGGTTGAACAGGATTTCAAATACGAAAGGGTCAAAGGGTGGGAGTTGCTGTCCTGAAGTTGAGAAGCACCTGATTAAGCAGCACGCGTTTTTTGCATGTTTTGATTGTTTTCCACTAGAACGCCGGCACAGACAAGAGCACGTTCCCTCTTCCTGAACCTCAGGACGTCTTCCTGGCAGCGCAGGTCAAGTTCGACGACCTCAACAGAGATCTGAAGCAGCTCGGACGAGATCTGACAAGTACGTGACGCCACAGTACTAGTTCCTTTTCTCGCAGCATTTGAAAATAAGCCCTGGAGGAGTAATGAACCCCTCCTCTCTTTTTGGCTTATAATAATAGATGGTTGCACACATTCCCCAAACATGACTTCCACTCTGAGCCGACAGACAGCGAGCTCCAGCATCCATGTGACTGGGTGACCGGGAACAATCTTGAGTTGTGGTCATTTTGTTGTGTGTTTTTGTTTGAACAACTAAGCCAGCCAGTGAAACTCTATCACTGTGATTTTGTGATACGCTCAAGAGGTTCCCACAAACCAAACCTCGGCTCAGTCTGGCATCATTTTTCCTCAGACATCACCCCCCCCTCCTCAAAAACTCGCCACTCTGGTTTCCCATCACTGGCCCCAGCCATTGAGGAACTGTTTATGCTTCAGTCTCTCCGACCGAACTCCTGTTAGCTAAAGCTCCAGAACAAAAGATTTCCTCTCGTCTTTCTTATCCTTCTTGCTTGTTCTTTTCACCCCCTAAGTGTGCCAACGTGACGCCATTCAGCATGCCAGTCAGTTAAAAGTCATTCTGAGGACAATGCCTACAGTACATGTGTACGGTTATGAGTGAGTGCATTGTTGTGTTTCTACGTATGCATGTGGTTTCGCATGCATTTCATTGCATGTGTTTGTGTGTGCGTATTCAGAGACTGCTGATACTGGCCTGGCGCCTTTCAGATCCAACTTCTAATCCTCCTGCCCATCAGATCTCCTGCCTTTGTGCCCCTGTCGCCAGCGCAGGGAGGCCGTAGCTTCCCACTTATGTAATCTCCAGACCTCCAGTATCTGCAGCATCTCTGCAGAGATGCACGGATCCTTAACTTGCTTGGCTGTATCATCTGGGCTCCAGTGTGGCCCCCAGATGCGTACCACAGATTGCTTTCTTTACCTCTCAACACAGCTTTGTCTTATCGGGCCGTCTACCCAAACCACCGTGCAATCTGGATCGCCTGTCGCAGGTCCCTTTTGTTCTGCCTGTTTGAACTGCCCTCATGCCTGGTTTGAAGCTCGGCTTTTGTCGTTCTTCACTCTCCCTGTGTTTTCTGTTTGGTTGGTATGAAATGTTTCTGTTTATTGTGGTTTAGCTTTTCTTAAGTCATCTATGTTGAGACTATATTATGTTAAATTACGTTACTGACTGAAAGGTGCTTTAAATTACTACAGGAAACGCATCTCTTACCTGACACAGTGTCGCCATGCCCAATGGCTTCTGTATCCACATTTTTAAATACCTGTGTGTAAAGCATCAGCTTAACTGTAGTAAAGTGGCTGCAAAACGAATGTCTTGCTCACAAAGCATTAAAACTTTATAAATAAGAAATCACCAGGAGCCCTAGTTGATTTGAGTAGGTAACAGCCTGATTGGTTTTTTTGGATAATTTATTTTCACTTGGACATGGCTGTGGTGAGGGCTGCAAGGTGGCGCAGTTGGTAGCAGCAAGAAGGTTGCCGGTTCACGTCCCGGTGGGGGCACCGGAATCTTTCTGCGTGGAGTTTGCATTCTCCCCATGCAGCATGGGTTCTCTCCGGGTTCTCCGGCTTCCTCCCACACAGACAGGTTGATTGGTGATTCTAAATTGTCCGTGTTCTGTCTCTAAGTGTAGCCCTGTGATAGACTGGTGACCTGTCCAGGGTGTCCCCTGCCTTCACCCTAAGTCGGCTGGGATAGGCTCCAGCCCCCCCGCAACCCTAGTGAGGATTAAGCGGTGTATAGAAAATGGATGGATGGATGGCTATGGTGGTAGAGTCCTCGACTCCCTGGAGGCAGCAAGACGTCCATTAGGAAGACACTAAACCTCACATTGCTCCTGATGACATACATACACCTTGCATGGCAGCAGCTTTGCCACCACTGGTGTGTGTGCTTGTGTGCTTGTGTGCTTGTGTGCGTGTGTGCGCGCGTGTGTGTGAATGGGCGAATGAGAAACACACTGTAAAGCCCTACATAGAATAGAATAGAATAGACTTTATTTATCCCAGACCTGGGAAAGTATTGTAAACAGCAGCATCCAAAAACATAGAAAGAAAGTACAAGACAATAACAATAACTAAGCAATATGCATCTTGGTGTCCGCACACAGCAGGTCCAAGGCCCCACTGTCTCCGGTTGGGCCGTCCACATACTGGCTAAATGTGGGGAGAGTGGTAGAGAGCGTATGATTAAGTCTCCTGAGATGACGATCAGAGACTGAGGGTGTGATGTTTGCAGCTGGGACGCTGAACTATGGATGAGTTCACAGGCCGCAGCAGCATCAGCCGAGGGGGGGATGTAAACTGTAATCACCAGGAAGTGTGAAAACTCCCTCGGCAGGTAAAACGGCCGCAAACCAACCGCCAGCAGTTCAACATCCTTCCTGTAGCGCTGCTCTTTAACGCTAACGTGCCAGCATTGCACCATCTCTCATTCACATACATGGCGAGTCCCTCACCTTTCTTCTTACCACTCTCCCTCCAGCTCCGGTCCGCTCTGACCAGGTGAAATCCATTCAAAGCTACGAGCGAGTCCGGAGTGAGTTCGTGAACAACATGAGGCTGCACACCCGATACTCCCATATAATAATTATAACACTCATAAAAGCTGCTATACAAGTGCAAGTTTACCATTTACTACTCATTCATTTTAGCCAAATCAGCAGTGTAGTTCTGTGCTATTCTGCCCTTTAGTCCAGACTGCCATACCCCAACAACAAAGACTGAGTGTCATTACATTTTCCACAAAAAGTTATAGTTCGATGATGTTGCTGTGAAATTTGGAAGTAACTTTGCAGATTTTTTTCCTTTGAGTAAATGCTTGTAAAACACTTTTACTGACTCAGGCTGATCTGAAATGTGTTAGATTAATGTCTGAAATTCAGGATTCAGGATTCTGCAGAAACATTTACACACTTCCTGAGGTCGTGTTTGTTGGCCAGCGGTGACTGTGTGTCAAATTCTTTGCTCTGACTTTAACAAATACTTGCAGCGCCACACGGCATCAGAAACAATAACTGCTTCTTTAAACTTAGAGTGATGTTCTGTGTTCTTGTACACACCTGACACGTCAGCTGGTCAACACAGATTTCAGGTTTACACAGTGGAAGTATTTGCATTAAAGCTCCTTGGATGATTCGGAGCTGTCAGGATTGTGTCTTTTTAATAAGAACTGCAGGTGATGAAGATGTAGTTTGTGTGAAAACCTGCTACTCTCTTCTACTGTATCCAATGTTTTGTTTCTTGATAGATTTCCATCCCTGTGGATTCAGACAGAGGTAATGATGTGATTTATGACCAATCCAAATATGGCATCATAAAAACCTATAAACCTCTTCAGGCATGTATCCCTCACTATGAATCTAAATCACGGCTTCAGTGCGGTGTTTGTGTAATTGCAGTCTCACATCTGAAAGCACGTTCTTCATCAGGCGGCTGTGTTTACGTGAAGGTCCATAACCCTCTTCAATCTGAAATAAGCAAACTTCTGTCAGGCACAAAAGGCAGACAAGCGAAAGAAAGGCTCCCCACACAATGCAGAGAGAGAGATACCCGCCTCCACAGTTTACACAAATGAAAACAGTATTCTTTTGTAATCTTATCTGGGAGATGCTGATCGGGCATCAGGGTGGGGGGGAGGGTCGGGGCTCGGCTCCCTTTGCAGCCTCTGTTATGACTGGCTCGGCAGACTGGCTCCTCTGATCCACTGATCGGACTCAGAGCGACGTGGAGCCGCAGACCGGCACAGGAAGAGAGAGAGGAGTTTGCAGTCGCCATCTCTGGGTGAATCTCAATAAGTGATATCTGAAGAGGAAACTGTGCTGATAACCTCCCGCTCCGGCACAGGTGGAGCTGCTTCAAGTCCTGCTTCCCTCTGCGCTGCTTCTCTGTTCAGGCTACAGGTTATCTGCAGGTCCTGAGAAGTCCTAAAAAGCAATGCATTCAATTTATCAAACAGAAGGTGTTAAAATGTTTGTAATTATTTAAACGAATGCTGCCTGCCATAGATAGCAGCACTAGTTACAGGTTGTGGATTTTGCCTTATTAGTGTTTATTAGAAGATAAAAGCTGTAGCAATCGAAACAAAAATCTAACATAAATATTTTTGGTTTGCATGATTTACTCAGGGCTGCAAGGTGGTGCAGTTGGTAGCACTGTTGTCTCGCCGCAAGAAGGTTGCCGGTTCATGTCCCGCTGGGGGCACTGGATCTTTCTGTGTGGAGTTTGCATGTTCTCCCCGTGCAGCGTGGGTTCTCTCTGGGTTCTCTGGCTTCCTCTCACAGTCAAAAAACATGTTGAGGTTAATTGGTGATTCTAAATTGTCCGTAGGTGTGAATGTGAGTGTACTTGGTTGTCTGTCTCTAAGTTAGCCCTGCGATGGACTGGTGACCTGTCCAGGGTGTCCCCTGCCTTCACCCTAAGTCAGCTGGGATAGACGCCAGCCCCTCTGCGACCCTAATGAGGATTAAACGGTGTATAGATAATGGATAGATGGATGATTTACCCAGTATCCTGAGTCATGTTAATTAATTAAATCTGAAAACTCACATTTTTTTGTTACATACAGCCAGCAAATGTAAACTTCAGTGGGATGTAAATGCCAATGAATGAACGTAAATAACAGATCATTTTAGTAACTGTAACTGTGTCCTGTGGTGGGTTTTAAATTGCATTTTAGGTAAAATCTAAGTTTTTTAAAAACCTGCAGAAACCTAGCACTAGGGTTGGACAGTTAATCAATTATAAAATTGAAATTACAATTTGAAACAATTAACAAATCACAAAGACTCCAACTGAGAATATATGAGGTTTGGATACTAAATAATGAGAACAATCTTATCATTTTATTTTATTGGAGAAGATTGTTAATGTCAATAAATGCCACGAAGTTCAGGCTGCACAGAGTAGTTCAGCTGACATCACCAGTGTCATTACTTCATATCCAGAGCTTACGGTACATGACATCACAAATCATTTTCCAATATATATGACTTCCAAACTTAACACTTTCTTATTGGTGGGGGGAAAAAAAAAAGCAGAGGACTGAAAGAACAAAGTCAGGGTGTATTTAAGTATCTTGCAGTTTGAGGATGTAATGTGTCATGATGTGTGGGTGTCAGCGTATCTTCTCCAGGTGCTGGTGGTTTAAACTTGTTGGTGCTGGAGTGACCAAAAAGATGCTGCCTTTATCCAAACGTCTTCTATTATTCAGTGTAGAATAAAATCATTAAAGATAAGAAAGTAGATATTTTAGTTAAGTATGTTTGTGTTGTTTCTTTCTTTCAGGATGTGAGAGAGACGTACAGAAAGTTTGCTCTGACTCTCCTGAAGAACACCTGCAGCCGTTTAAGGACAAGATGGAGGCTTTTGTTCTCAGTGGTGAGTGATGATGGTCACATAATGTACAGCTGAGATACTGCGAGTACGAAATAAATGTTACAAAAAAAACCCAAAAATGGATGAGATGGGTTGATATTGGCAATAGGCCCTGGTAAAGGCTGTTGCAAGTCAGATTTAAGACTTTCGTTTACATCCTTAAATAAGCCTGAAGAGCAGGACTGAAGATCTGTGAATCCAGATGTTTTATTTGATATATTTGAAGAACTTGCCAGCCTCCCCCATTCTTCTGCCCTTCTCTCTCAATTTTACCTCCTCCTAACTATTCATTTTGCATCTCCTTTGGTCTGTTTTGTTTCTATGTAGTTGTTCTATGTCTGTTTGCTCATTTTTTGTGTGTGAATTTGGTGTTTTGCATGTCTCTTTGGTCAGTTTGGGTCACTTTTTTGGTGTTTTGCATGTCTCTTCTACCTTTTTTTTTTTTGCATTTGTTTATGGTTATTTTATAACTGTTATTGGTCATATGTATTGCTGTTTGACCAATTTCTGTTTCTTTGTTGATGTGTTATGTCTCTTAGTAGTCAACTTGTGCTTCTTGACACTTATTTTACCGCCTCTTTTTAGTTGCTTTTTTTTCTCTTTGTTGTAATTTTGTTTCTCTTTCCAGTTGTCTCTATGAGATCATTTTGTGTTTTCATGGTCGTTTATGGATCCTTGAATGACTTTCCAACAAGAAATGTCAACAGCAGCTCTTTGCCTTACAGGCCTCTTCAATAATCCTTCAGTGTCTCCAGTTGTCAGATAAATGCAGCCTTTACTGGTCCTAAAATGTTCCTTTTTGTCTTTGGTATCTGTGTGTGTTTGTGTGTGTGTGTGTGTGTGTGTGTGTGTGTGTGTGTGTAGGAGATAGGATGGATTCAGAGTAAAGGCTAGACACTCAGATAGGAATCAGGCAGATTTGGAAATGACTGAACGGCTCCTGCCTGAGACATACAGGCTCGCTTTCTCTGCCTGAAATATCCATCCAGCTAACTGAGGCATTCCATGTTGTAGAAGACCTTCACACTGACCCCTGTCAAGGTTCATCACAAATAACAGAGGAAAACTTCCTCTACCCCGTGTATTAAACAGTGCAGATTCACTATAAGTGCTAAAATGTGTTTCTTGTGTTGGGTGTCATCACAGAGCTTCAGACTGCAGCATTCTGTCCACATCACCCTGGAACTATTCATGTTTTTGTCCTTCTTTCCCATCATTTCATTTGTTATAAAATCATTGCAGGCAGTTGGGCTATGTCATGTACTTTCAGCCTTTGTTTGTCATTTTCAATACGGGAAGTTTGTCTGAAACATTTTCATCCATTTTGAATGCGAAGATGTGAAATTAAACCTATCAAGGAATTTCCAATAGTAAGTAAAGCTGCAACAGAATCAAACAGAATGATGTCATTTGCTGTGATCAGCAATGTAACCTTTTGAGAATTTGTTGTTCTGAACATTTCTGGGGTCCGAAGCAGACTCCATTACAGAGAGACAGACAAAGCTAATAAGTTATTTTGTCATAATGGCATTGCAGTTTGAAAGTGGCAGCAAGAATGGCTCCATTGTTGAATAACTGACTGTGTAATCACTGTTTTGAAGAGACCAAATGGTCGTCTGGCTCCATTAGAAAAAGGTCATCATCATGAAAGAGGTTCTCATTGTGTCCCTTCAAGTATTCACATCAGCAGGCTCTCCAATACGGATTATGATATTCAACATATAATTTGTGTCTTTTTTGGGACATCTGGCAACAAGTGAACCTTCTCCCTGTCTGTTTCTTTGCAGCACGAAAAGAACACGCCGAAGCTTCCTATCAGCTGATGACTGCACAGAAAAGGTGGGAGAAAAATCAACTTTTACTTTGTGTTTAAAATACTGATCTTGAATTTGGTTTTTGAGTTCTGCATCAGCTCGAGCAGCCACAGCAATGTTGACAGTGCGCTCAGGATGCTGCAGTCACCATTTGTAGGCATCTATGGAAACGTGAAGCAGTTTTTGAACTAATATTTCAAAGATTCAACCATTTCTAACTTCCGCATATGTGTAGATACACAACCATGCAGTTAATACAAGCTTGTCAAATACACTCCTAATAAAGGCTGTAAGGCTGTAGGCAGACGCTTTGTTTGTAGTTTAAGCTTCTGGAAAACTGTGAAACAAATCACTTAAAGTTCAAAAACACTTCACAGATAATAAGAACGTTGCATTAGCAAACAACACCTGCATTGATTAACAACGTTGTGTTCTTAACTGTTAAATGTCTCACAATAAAAATAATTTTAATTACTAATTGCAAATTGTAAATTAATGATCACAAAAGAGCAAATTCAATAAAGTCACATCTGTATTATGTTCTTATTCCTTTTTATGCTTGCCTTCAGTTTTCAGGATTTGGTTCTGTACTTTGGACTGAAGCCAAAGACAGGAGAGAAGGAGGTGACGACCGGTCACTTCTACATGCTCTGGTTTGAGTTTTGTGCTGACTTCAAGGCCAGGTGGAAGAGGGAGAACAAGGCCATTTCCAAAGAGAGGTAAGTAATGACTGTGCGTACGTGTGTTTGTAGAAGTGTCCGAGACTACCACTTTGTGAGCCAGTCCCAAGTGTTTGTGGTAGGCTCAGTTTTCATTTAGATAACTGCGCCCAACACTATGGAGTAAGAATATGGGTCACAACCATCCATTCACTTTCTTGCTTGTCCCGAATTGGGTTGTGGTGGCGAAGCATGTTAGCACACACATCCCTCTTCCCAGCAACATTTTCCAGATGTTTCTGAGGGATCCTGAGGGGATCTGGTTCTTCCCCTGGGTCTTCTAAAAGATGGACGAAAATCTCCAATGGAAGGTGCCCAAGAGGAATCCTGATCAAACGCCCCAAACCATGTCAAGTAGCATAATCAAACTATTAAAAAAGGCTTTCTTGTCTTTTTCCACATGTCCCCCCATGTGTCTGGATCACTCAGAAACAGCAACCTGCAAATTAAAACATCCAGAATGTGTTGTAGAAATGTTTCATTCACCAGTCAGTCATGTCTGACGTATTGTACAGACAGATTGAAATCTTTTTGTCTTTATTGTACTTATCATTTTTTTAAATGCAAATAATTGGATTAGTTTGTCCTTCCTTGCCTCTGTGAGATTGTTTTACTGACTGAATGCTTGTGTTCAATCAAACCAATAAACTTGGATCAATTGTGCAGGTTAAAAGAGGCTCAGCTGTCAGTGAAGAGGATCACAGGAGAGAAGAAGGTGGAGACGAGAAAGATCAACCCCAACAGCCTGGTGAGACTGGACAAGAGCAGGCATTTACTGAATCAGGCCTTGGATATGCATCCAGCTGAAAGCATACGATTTCAGAAATGTGCTTAAGAGTTTATATTTAAACAACTAAAATAACTCAGTCTTCACTGAAAACTAAATCTGACCAGTATATTTCTTAAAGTCATGTCTGTCTTCTGCTGCTCCGGTTTACTTCGTGCAAAGTTGTCTGTAGTGTCTTCATCTGTATCTATAATATTTGTTCCTAACAGAAAGAGCGACTGCGGCAGAAAGAAGCCAGCATGTCTTCGATGTAATTGACTCAGGAACTCAAAAAACTCCTCACACAACCATCCTGACTGAGCTGGATCAGGCTGAACGTGGACCTGGATTCAAAACAAACACTTTCCTCGAGGAACACAACATAAATTGTCTCCACTGAGCACTCACATTCAGCAACTGACAGCTTCTTGTAATATACTTTGCTACAGATATGTATTTACATTTTAAGGTGTAAAAAAAAAAAATCAAATGCTTCAAATGTGTATAGACTTTTACATTATACTTAACATTTTGCATTGATTCAGACATAAACTGTACCTGTGTGCAGTATTATTGTTCAAATAAAATCACTGATCAGATCAGAAAAATGTGACGTCATAGCTTGAATGATGTTTTATTTACATGCAACATTACAAGACATGATATACAAATTATACACAGTCATATAATCAAGTAGCATTTCGCAGTGCAGGTTGTTAAAAAAAAATAGTAATATTCCCAAAGCCTTCAGCTTTACATCCCACACAGTGGAAACAACCTTGGAAGATGCGTTCTCTTACATTTCTTAAGTCTTTCACATCCATTATCCTGCATGTCTGCAACAAATATGTTATTATGAACTGTTGCAAACCACCCTGCATTTAGCTTAAACTCAGTCTCATTGGCACTCAAAGTAAACAGTTCTGATCTTTGGTATCTGCATCTAAAACCATGTGCCAACAAATATTTCAAATCCCTTAAAGCACACAAAAACTATGTGGAAGCAGAGACTGATAACTGGCAGGGTGATGGGTCAGTGCCATATGTTCTTAATGTGGGTCAAACTGTCACCTTAAAGGGAACATGGCACCTCAATCAACTACTTATTTCAGATGTCTTTCAGCATATTTAGTGATAAATTGTTGAGTATCTTCTGTTTTCAAAATGAAAAAAAGGCGCAGGCACGTTCCTCACACTTCCACTGTGTTCTTATATGTCCTCTAAGCAATAGATTGTTGTCCCTTTTTATTTTCCGCCAGCATGTCTTAGTTTAGGGTCTAATCCGTATCTATAGTCGTGCAGCGGCACTGCTTTACGCGCTGGACCCGTTTCTTCCTCGTGCTGGGCGTCTGTCCCGGGCAGAACAGCGTGTAAGTGACGGTGCTAAAGGTTTTGGGTTTGCAGGCAGAGCAGGATTGAAAGGCGTTCCCGTCCTGGTACATGTGCCTCGGGATGTAGAAGGAGTTGCACTGTCCGTAGCAGAACCGGTTGATGATGGTGCGGCTCAGGCAGCCCTCCTCCCGGATGGTCTGCTTCAGCGGCTGCGTCTTGCACCAGTCCAGCCGCAGGTACCGACGCTCCGTGACATGCAGCGCCTCCTGGCTGGACTCCAGCACTTCGTCGTTTGAGGCTGGAGGTCCCGTCCCGCGGGAAAGGAGTCCACTGATGGGCGGCTGTAGACATCTCTCCGATTCATTCGGGTTGTATTTGTTTGGATGTGGAAAAGCGCCTTGAAATGTCCCGGAGTCAGTGCTCTCCAGTGGGGTGAGCAGCAGTGTCAAAACTACTGCAAAGACCAGCACTGACTGTTTTTGCATCATTGAAGCTGAAAGGAAAACAACAGAGGTCAGTCATTAATGGAGAGCATTTTACGCAGAGGTTTTACGCACGATTTACGCATCGCACAAGCAGCGCGCATGCAATGTGTCTTCCCCAAATACTTAAATTTTGAGTTCACTTTGAGACCCAAATGTGCACTAATTACACTGACTTACCTGTTGATTTTTTTTTTAAACTCCTCAGAAGAAAGCTTTATCCAGTCAAGGCAGTTGGCAGCATGTGCTTCTTCTGACGGTCCGGCGCCTTCAGTACTGGCTTTATGAACAACACAGTGAGGGGTTTTCCAAACCGTCTTGAGATTCTGCAGAACACGCCCCCAAACCCTGATCCTCACTTTATCTGTCTGGGGGGAGAAGAAGAAAAAAAAACCCTCCTCCAAACTTTGTCAATGCAGATAAATCGTTTATTTGGCTTTACAGAACAAAAACAGAACACAGCCATTTTTGACAAGATGAGGTAACCCAAGATAGAGTCAGTGCTGCCTGAAGAGACTCACAGGACTGCAACAGGGTGAACAGATACTAGTCAGAATAAGCTCTAAAATATTTGCCATGCTACTGTGGAGTAGTTCACAATCCCACCTTTAATGACAAAGCAAAACTTACTTCTATATATGATTATGTTTAAGGATATAAACAGAATTAAATCTTTGATTCAAGACACAGAAGTGATACATATTGTCACATACAAAAATTAAACAGTGACTAAACTGATCTCTGTACAGTTGTGAATAATAATGTTCTGATTCAACATTCTTCAATCTTTGTACAACTTCTTATTAAATTTACAGCTGCTGATAAACCATACACTGCCAGTTAAGTATTTAACACCATATATTCTAGTATTTTGGGTGTTTTGTCTCAAAATCAGAAAACATATGGAGTTGGTGTGAAAAAAACAACAACAAAAAAAAAAAACAATGAACTAAATGGGATAGATTTGAATTCTAATTAGATACTGAAGGCAATCAATTTGATTTTGGAGCTTTCAGTTGTTTTCTTAACCTTCAAAACAGCATCTGTCAAAAGAAATCTCAACTCCAAAGTGCTTGCTGTTTGCAAAGCTTCGAGCTTAAGAAGTAAAAAGGCCCCTCAGTTTAAATGTTTAAAAAAAAAAAGTCACCCTAAAGTTGTGTTTCCAGGACCACGTTCTTAGATTGTGATGCTATGTGTTAAAATAATCCTAACAGCAAGAGCACATAGAAAGCATGTTGTGTCTAATTGGGAACCAAGGATCTGGGCCAACTAATATGCTTGTGATACAATAAAACAAAGCATTTACAAATACAATACTTGCACTGAGGTCACAGTCCCATCAATTGTAAACCAAAATGCTTAAATGTGCAGTGTTAAAAACTCTTTTCTGAGAATGTACTTGGATATTACAGTGTGTGTTGCAGGAGTTTAGGTCATGGGTTGGCTGGCAGCTGGGACAGTCGGTGCTTCCTCCTCCTCTTCCTCTGAGAAGTGAGGAACAGATTTCTTGGCGACCACATTGTCCAGCCTCTGGCCCATTAAATATGGGTTGACACTCTGTGGACAGAAAAGCAAAAATATTTGTGTACAGACTGTAAACATGTACATAAAGTACAAACATCTGACAAAATTAAAAACGGGGATTCTTCAGACAATAAATCAGTGGGTTTATGAGCACATCATTCCCTTCGGGGGTACATGTCCATGCTGGTGATGTGGTTTCTCAGATATAATCCACACAGGAAAAGGAAAAAGACAACCAAGAAATATTATACCCTTTTTCTTCTTTTTGGTCCTGCCTTCAGCTTTTGGTACAGACGTTCCTTGTTCTGAAAGGAAATGCAGAAAAAAAGGATTTCAGACATAAAATCGTGTATCTGTGGTTTTACAGCTAGTCCCTTTGTTCCTTAATTACAGCCAACAAATTGCCTGAATGCCATTTTCAGGGAATAAAAGCATTCATTCTCTGTGGGTAACTTCCTCAGGGCCGAAGGATACACTGAAAAATGAATCCATGTGAATTACAAACATGTTTTTTTGACCCATCAGAACGAAAAAAAGTCTTGTCGTGACTTTATTTTTAAGCAGTTTAACCAAAGCTGTAAGTGATGCTGCTGTACATGTCAACAATCAGAGTGAGACGAGAGAAGACAGTATAGCTTGGATCTAAAATGATACTGGAGCACCTTAAAACCTACTTCATTACCATACCTAGTCATATCATTGTTTCAAATCTAATCATATAGCACCCTAAAAATACAAGAATGACAAGAATGCAATTAATCAACACTTAAAAGTCTTTCCTGTACTCACCCACTTTGCCAGGGCTGGGTAGTCATGCTCTGGGTCAAACAGGTGCTGGTGTTTCTGAAACTCTCTGCTGAACTCAGCTGTGTCAGGAGCATTTTCCAAACAACCATCTGCTGCTGTGAACACAACAACAGACAGAGCTGGTGTCACGCTTTCTGTTCATTACTCCAGATAGCTGTACACTGGAAAAGGCCACCAGCTCATCAAGGAAGTACACTACGTCCAATCTTTATTTGTTTTGTGTCACCATTTTTTTTGTGTCTTTTAAAGGTCAAAAACAGCACAAACAAAAGAAATAGATTTTTTAAAAACAGCAGCATGTTCCATGAGTTCACTAAAAGGTTTAATGGAAATTATGAACCTGGCTGCGTCTACAAACATCAGTATGCTGTGTTTAGAGGACGAGTCAGTACCTGTCTTTCCCAGGGGGCAGGGGTTTGGAGGGTCTGGGTATCCATGGTCATCACTCAAGTCTTTGGGGACGTTGTCTCCCGTCAGCTCAGCCACAATGTTGGGGATGTTCCCATAGGGCCCGAGATGCTGCAGCCCTTCATGAGCACCACCTGGTGGAGGAAACAGACTCTGCAGTCACCACAACACTGTGCTACCAGCCAGAGGTAGCAGTACAGTAAACAGGCATTCTTAAATGTCATATATTATAATATTTTCCATGTCATAATCATACTACATCTACATTTACATCCTCTGAATTGAGAGTAAGTGTTTCTTCACACCTTCCATCTTAAGCTGATTCTGTCTGTCAACACAAGCCTGGAGTGAATGATCTCAACCTTAAATCAACACTACTGAGGTATGAGGGCACAGGAAATGTTGAAACACTGCTCGAATGACACAAATATTGAAATAGCAGCAAAACTATCTGGGAATGTGAATCGATGAGAAGCTGACTTTTAAATATAATGTGTCCACACTGGTGACTAAACTACGACAAAAGGTTGGGTTTCTGTTACAGGAATAAATCATGTTTCCCACTGCACAGTAAAAAACTGCTAAATGAGGCAGTTCTTCATAACTAAACACTCATCACTGTGAGCTGCACGCTGAGGTCAAGTCTCTCTAAGGTGTAACACACACTGACTTCACTGCTGTATTTTAACATGGGTTCTTACTAAATACACTCAAACAATGGAATTACACTGCAGCTGCTGTTTTACTGAGCTTGGAAAATCCAGCTTCAGTCATTGTGCACCAGTAACCTGGAACAATATGAACCATCTAAAGCTGGACTCAGATTTATCCTTTAGACAAAACAGCTTCATAATTTGATGTTATTTTTCTTCCAGTTTTTCTTGTTCTACTTCATTTATCCATACAAATAATCTTAAATGCTCTAATCAATATTTTTTTCTCAGTGTTTCCCTGGTTTCTTATTTGAGTGTCTCTCTGTTGTATTTTGTTGGCTGCATAGCAAACAAGGCTGCCAAAGCTCCATGTAGTTTCAGGTTAAATATAGGAACAAGTGAACGAATGAATAAATACTTTTTTTATAAATTAAGTTTAACACAGCACATGATAGCACACAAACAAGCATTTATATGGAGAGGAAAGTGGAAGCAGCCTCCAAACAAGCTCTACACATCGGTATCAACTAATGATTAATAGATCAGTTGTCAACTATTAAATCAATTGCCAACTATTTTTTTTTTATAATTGATAAATCAATTTGAATATTTTTTAAAGAAAAAGTCTAAATTCTCTGATTCCAGCTTCTTAAATGTGAACATTTTCTGGTTTCTTTATTCCTCTATAAATATCTTGGACAAAACAAGATATTTGTGTGGGACATCTTGGGTTTTGTGAAACACTGACTGAATATTTTAAAGAACAAATAACCAAATAATTAATAGAGAAAACAAAGAGATTACTTTGCAATGACAATTAATTTCCCATTGCAGCCCTACAATAAATAATAGGCTCAGTTTAGGTCTAAAACAAGGATAATAGAGGATTGGACACTGTGTAATATGGTAATAAAGCACTGAGTTAAACTCTCAGCAATGAGATATTTTGTTGTTTTACTACTGTTAGTGCCATTTTTTCAGACTATTAAATCCTGTCTGTACCCTTCCCACATCCATCCATCCATCCATCCATCCATCCATCCTACCCTGTATGCTCTGAGGCCCCACTATGTTGGTGGCCTGGTGTGCCGGATACTCCACCCTGGGCCGAGCGATGCCCAGCTGCTCCATGACGCCGTGCAGGAGGCGCTGGATGTCGGCCTCAGACACCTGGTCCGCGGTCCGGGGGCTGCGGGCTGGAGCTGTGCCGAGCTGCAGCCACAGCAGCAGGCCGAGCAACGAGAAGCGCACCGCCGGGCCCATCTCTGTCATCTGCACGGACAAACACCACACACACACACACACACACACCAACACGGACAGGTGCGTTATTGCGCGCAAACACAGCTGCTCTTTTCCTGTTGGACACACGACCGGGGAGTCACGGAGCCACAATGTGAGGAGGGTGACTGAGATCGGTACAGCCTGTAACACTGACTGTAAAATGGAATGAAGCCTCGGTGCGCAACTCACTCAGTAAACAGAGCCTGGGCCGATGTCAACAGCCTAGAAATAACCCACATGAGCCCAGGAACCTTTGATTTACAATCAGAGATATATTTGATTTACCTTTATCAGATTATATCCAGGATTTTAATTGCTAGAAAGGTGTCAGTAATAATCAAAACGGATTTGTGTGTTTTCTTACCTTGGTCGGGCTGATGGAGGGACCTGCCTGCTGAGAGCTCAGTCAAGCTGGACACGAAGACCACGTTCTGGTTTACAAAGTAAAACCC